AAATAGTGGTATCACCAAAATATTTAGTATTTAATTGTAAATTGAGAAGTGTGACGAGGTCCAACACACAAGTATTATTCAAGTGGAGAAAAATCTTTATTAGACCCGTTCTGACTCTTTCTTTTTTTTAAAATTTTTGTCTCTGTTTAGGCCTAATAGTTCTCACTATGATTGTTGAATATGACATAAAATTCACACAAAATAAATAAATTTAGATGCAATCTTAATAGGTTTGGATTTAAATGAGTGGACGACTAGACATGCTTAAACTAAATGGCATGACAAAAACACCATTCATGTCACACCCTAATTGACTTGGATGCAAATGACCGGTCTTTGTGGTACCTTGCACCAAGGCATGCCAGAAATTGGAATCAAGGTGACGCGGCTAAGTGGTTCAACAGATTGGGACGAACCAAGGCAGCATGAGACCACCCGGTTGAGCATGACAGCATGGGTGGACTCAATTGAAGCAATGTGGGTGCAGAGCTTCGGATTGCATGGCATGGGTTGAACCCAACATGCACATTGGTTCGTGTAGCAAGGTTGACTGGTGAATGTGGGCACATGACTGCTGAATGTGGGCACCTGATTGACACATGACTGCTCAATACATGTGACTAAGAGGATGTGGGCAGTTATGATCTTGAGACTCAATCAAGGCAGTTGTTGAGGCAGTTCTGGATGTCCCCAGTCTGAATCCAGTCTAGATGCATGCTGATGAAGGGACAGTTCCACAACAGTTACTTGAAGTGGTGGAACTGCCTGCCAGATGTTGCACAGAGACCAAGTCTACTAGTCCAGTATGTTATGGAATAGCAAAAAAGTGGGTAACTACCCCTTGGCAGATGGGGGTGCCATCTGCCTTCCTCTTGTATAAATACAGGTGCTTGAACATTCTGGAAGGGAGAGAGTGTTCTGGCTTTTGAGAGTCCTTATAAATTGTTGAGTTCAATATATAAGGTTTGAGAGTGTTGTCCCAGTAGATTCGTGTGTGCCTTCTGTGTGAGTTTCTGTCCTTTATTCTTGAGTTGAGTGTGACTGGTTGTAATATCAACGCCTTCACAGGTAGCCTAAAAAAAAAAACAAAAATTACCCTGTGACAATTCAATACCACGTATACATGAAAACGAACTCTACACAAATATGAATCGATCATATATGTGTTTAGCATGTTAAGTTTGACTTAAATATGGAGTGTGGAGTAGGTAGATTGTGCTTGACAAAATATACGTGATAAGATAAATTATAGTTTAACCCCTTAACTATGTCCTTATCTTACATTGTCCTAATTATATTTTAACCCCTTAACTATGACCTTATCTCACATTGTCCTTTAAACTATTACGTTTCTTATTTTGTGCCTCTAACCAATGACTATTGGTCTTGCATTGCCTCCTCAATTATCGCATTTCTCATACTACTTCAACTATCATATTTTTTACAATATGTCTCAAACTGTATTTGATGGTTTTACATTGCTCCGATGTTAGACATCGAAACCGTGTATTTTATTGAACAATATAAAACCTATTCAAGTTGTCAGAGACAAATTACATTTTAACTCTCTTAACTATAACTCTAGTGTCCCTTTGCCTTTTCAATTATAGAGTATTTTATATTATTATTCATTTATTCATTCAAAAATGGTTGGGAAGAGGGCTCCACACACTATAGGTTGGTAAAGGGCCAATGGTTTCACTTGACAGTAGTTGATAGGGCCCCATTACAATACCAAGATGTGACTGGATCAACACGCCAACGCGTGGTACGGCAATCCCCTGTTAGAACAGTGAGCTCTAAACACTGGTCAAAACGGAAGCCGTTATTCTTTCCCCTTGAGTAGCACTTTGTTGGCTAAAAGCTGTCCATCACGACCCTACCATTATCTTGCCCCGCCAAAAAAGCTTTAATCTCCCTCCCTTCTCTGACCAATTCACTATCCATTACAAATTTTTTTAGAGTTTGTAGCATTATCCTACATGCATAAAACTACTATTTTTTTGTCATGTAGGGTAACAAACCCAATTATTTGGATTCAATTCAAGATCAAGTTGTTAAAAGATCATTAGAGATCGGATTGCGTAATAAATGAACAAAGTCTTTATAAATAACAAATCATATTTATTAACGTGGGTCTTAACATAGCGGTAAGATTATTTTATTGTAATATGAACATTAGAGGTTTGAGTATAAAAACAGGCCTTCTACATACAAAGGTGAGATCGTATACAACTAATCCTTCTTAGACATTTCAGTAAATAAATCATCACTGACATGTTTTTTTAAGTTTGAAGACGAAGATTTCTCTAGCATATAGCTTGAATTTACCTCAATAAACAAATTAATACCCAAATATTATATGAAAAGTTAAGTTACCCAAGCTCAATTTAAGATTGATTCGACAAAAAATAGATCAAGATTGACTATGTCAGACGGACTTAAAAGTTATTTGAAGCTCTTAGTTTGAACAAACAAAACTAGGCTCAGTTCAACTTAGTTGCACACATATTTATGATTTTACAGTAAATAATTGTTTTAAGGAAAAATTATTTTTGGACCTCAAATTATGCACTTTGTGTCAATTTGTTTCACAATATTCCAATTCCACCAATATTGATCTCTCGGATAATCAATTTACGTTACTTTAGTCCAAGCAAAAACAGAGACTTAAATTTAATTTTGGAGATCGTCACATGCATCTCTTGTAACCGCAAGACATAGAGGGGGAGGTCATAAGCGTGAGAAAGGATATATTTTATATTGGGCTATAATTGAAAATATCATTGTTTCTGGTACAAAAGTTCCTATAAAAATAGGAAATGTCATATCGTTGAGTGCAGTTTGAATTATTGATTTATGTAATTGAAAATAACCAATTACGTTTACAAAGAAACCTAAAAATCTATCACTGGTCTTATTTGAGTACCTCTATAGAATAGACCTCAATAGAAAATTGAAGAGTAAAGATAGCAAGTGATTATAGGTGTTTTTTTTTTGGAAAAATAAGGGATGGATACAAATTGTAAACATGAAAAATTAAAATAACACACATTGCAAACTTGAGGGACCAAAGTGATCCTTGAAGTGTAGTCATGTGAGACGCATGTGAATATCTCCCTTTAAACCATCCTTTTTTTATTGGACTAAAAGGACACAAATCAAAATTTTAAAAGACTAAACTAACAAAATTCGAAGATAAGGGAACCAAAGTGGCACAATGTGCATACTAGAGAGACTATCACTATATTTCACCCATTGTTGAAACTCAACATCCTGGTTTAACGGTTAATAATCCGCACTTTAACTAAACCAATAAAATTGCAGCTTCTATCGTTTCACAAAAGTATGCAATGTATACAAAGATAAAAGAACAAGTACTTCAGTACCATGTGAGGTCCCTTGCTTTATAGTTTCCTAGGAAAATTACAGTATGCGGTTTCCTAATCCATTCCATTTTCCTTTCTGTTAGTCAAAAAGGAAAAAAAACTAAGCATATACCCTCTAACCAAAAAAGTCTTAGATCAAATGTCTTTAATCATTATACCATACTGTGCTTTATCTTTTCATCTGACCAACAAATTGCACCGAGACAATCTAATCCAAGTCGTGTGTTCGAGCCCGAAAATCAGCCTCGCATAATTGAGGTAAATTGTCGATCATTTACGTACATATTCTATCATAAATGAAAGTATTCTGTACTAGATACGACATTGTAAAGTCTCTTTCATCTCTAACAGAAATAGCATGGCTTATTAGTAGGTTTACCCTATTCACCAAGTCCCAGCTCAATCAAAAAATTTGGGCTCAAGCTCTGAAAATATGAGAGGTGTGAACTCTAGGACAGCATTTGTAGACAGAAATTAGGACTTGTCCAGCTTTCAACATTTTTCAACATTTGCAAACTAAGCTTTTTTGGATGCATGCTCTTCTTTAGTACACGCTTGCTGCAATGTTTTATATCACCGACTAAAGGCGTCATGCAGGGGCACAATAGAGGTCAAATATGGAATGATAACAAGTACTCATACAATCAGTAGATATGTCTCGACTTTGAGCATAAAATCAACCTTAAAAAAATAGGATAAATTGCTTGTCACTTATGTCATTCCGATCTCATCTTACTATAGGTGGGAGTTTTGTATATCGTGTACAACTATTTTTTCACTTGGGATGTAGTCGAAAATTTCAAAGTGAAGGGCATTTGAGAGAGGAAGAAAACTATAATGGGCAAATAAAAGGGGTCAAATCAAATATATTAATTCCTTAGGTAGCCAGCATAATAACTTTTTGAGATGTTTGATGAAAATCAATTGACAAACTAATAATTTTAGAAACCCGGGGATCATGGCCCCTAGTTCTTAACGTGGATCCGCCATTAATGACAAAGTTAGGCTTCATACCTGTCATACAATGGTTTTCAAGTCTTAACGTGGTTTCGCCACTACCAAGAGAAGTAGATAAATTGTATGTGTCACATAATTTATAAACTCACCTAAAAAAAAACTTTTACACGGGAAAAATACATCAATTGGGCATTCAATAATGAAAATGTGTACTCGCAGTATTAAACGGTGGATAATCTAGAATCGAAGCAACTTATTACCAAAAAGAATCATAATCCTAATTCAAATGCAGTGTGAAAATGTTTTTACATTTTCACGTATGTGTGTGTGCGTGCACACGTACCATCTTTTTTTTTTTTTTTTTTCACACGTACCATATGCGGTTACTATGTCATAGATTGATAGGTAGGTACCATATGAAGGGGATTTGGCTCCCAACTTTAAGCCACTTATTCACATTCCCTCCTTCAAAGTATAAGGTCCTCCTATCCTAAGAATCTATAAAGATATACCCTAACACCTTTGGCCTTTCCATGCTTTTGTCTTTTTGTGTTTTTGTCCAACCATATGCCCCTTAATTAAAAAAGGAGAAAAAGCAACCACTTAAACCTTATAAGAGGTAAAGTAACCACTTGGGCATCTCTCTATGTTCTGATTTGGCTCAGACTTAGGGAGAAAATGGAAGATCAAGACAGTCCTCTTAGCTGGCCTTACTACTTCCAGGAAGAGGTAAGAATCTCCTTACGGATACCTTTTTACGTTTGGAAACAAAGAAAGTTTTGTAATGTTGATTCTGAAACATCAACCGAAATATTATGAAGCATGTGTATTTCAAATTTTCATCTCTGATTTGCTTCGATTTCCATTTAAATTGTAATATCTGGCTAGTTTCGGTGGACACGAGACGGAATTTTGATCCTTGTTTCTTGTTCAGTGTTGAGGTTTTTTTTTTTGGTAATGTGCTTTATGTTGTTTGCCAGGGAATTGAGGAGTTGAAGCACAGTTTGTTTTACACAACGTTAGAGCTTGAGACTACAATTCTCTCTGCTCAAGAGGAACTTGCTAGAAAAGATGATGAACTCCAGCATTTCAAAGGTCTCTTGACAAAGACCATCGGAGAGAGAGATGAATTCCAAGCAAAATGCCAAAGGCTAATGCTGGAGAGACTCCTACTCCAACAGCAATTGCAACAACAGTTTCAGCATCCCCCAGAAATTGCTCGGTTAACCGGGACTACTAGCAGTGAAGATGAACCGAGAGGGGGTGAATCCAACACTGGATTTTCTTCTTCAGATTGTGATGAAAACATCACTGAATCGTCCAGTAAGTACCCAATTCCACCACCAACATTACCACTGCCGCCACCAGAAGTGACCAATAAATTGGATTTGAAAAAGCCGTTGCCAGAACAAGGGAAGTTCCTGCAGGCGGTGATGGAGGCCGGGCCGCTCCTCCAAACACTACTCCTGGCTGGACCACTGCCTCAGTGGCAGCACCCACCTCCCCAACTCAACACCATTGAGATCCCACCAGTGACCATTTCTTCTCCAACGCCAAGGCTTCTCCACCAGGACTCTTGTGCCAGTACAGGTGGTTGTTTCAGCAAGAAGAGGGGTGTGGTGAACAGTGCTGAAGTCTCTGATTTATCTCCTAATACTAAGTATCAAAAGGTGGTTCACCAATCATCATTGACCAACATCTAGTGAAATCCCCATAATTAGCTAGTAGACCCATCCTTTTCATTCTGTTAAGCATGAAAATTGAAAAGTAATCAGCATGCAGTGGAGGGTTATAATGCACCTCTTTGAATTTGTATAGTAGTTTTGCCTTAGAACTTGAGAGTCCTAACCAATTAGGAGAGAGAAAAAGAGGGCATAATCAGAGCCTTTTTTGCTTTATGTTTGATGACTTCGACCTTTTTTCTTCAGTGGCTAGTCTAATTCCCCCTTAGAATATGAAATGGGGGATTTGAATTCTCCAAAACAGGGGAATTTTATATGAATACAGCTTCCATCCTTTCTTCTTTTTTTTTCCCCATTAGATTATGCTTGTGCTTTTGTGGAGGGTGGACCAATGGTAAGGTCCTTCTACTATGATCTGGCGTCAAAGATTGAAGTCGCAGAAATAGTCTCTCCACATGTGGGGTAAAACTGTGTGCATCTGACTCTCCAAGAATCCCCGTTGAAGTCTCGTACACTCGACTGTCTTTTGATCTTTTGTTACACTTTGTGTATGTCTGAAGATTGTGATGTTGTGGAACTATGGTCATGATTGAGAAGATGATCTATTATAATACAACTCTAGTTATGATTCTAAGTTATTGCCTCTTGCTTTTAGATTAAAGTAGATTCATGATGGTAAGTATGACCTGAACAAAGCAATCAAAAGATTTTCCTAATGACTAATGAGCCTACTTTCCAAGAAGTGCACCTACCATGCATGCTGTGTGCCTGCCATTAAAATGGCATCTTAACTGCACCCATCTCACTGTCATGCCATAAGCAAGTTAACCAGACCCCATTGGAGATCCAGAATTAAGAAAGCAGGTGAATGGGGCCCACAAGCGTCCGAATTTGGGCGATAGCAAGAGTCCATCTATTTAATTGTTATGTCGTGGGTCTTAACTCTTTAAGTTTGAGATCAATCTCTTGATAAATCAGATTTATCACTGAACTCTTCCACACACTTGTACAAATGAGAGTATTATGTATCAGATACAACGACAATCTACATGAGCAAACAGAAGGATGACAATTTTTTGATGGATCAAGTACAGTTAGTTGAGCTAGTTTGAAATCAAGCAACAAAAGCATTGAAGTTCAGGTTTGATGGGCATTGTCTGATCGAAAACGCCCATACAATAAGTCAATGAAAGATGCATATTAGAAAAAACTTCAAGGATGTTACTTTCATGGGTGAGGTCATTTTCATGATTCAGGGGTTGTTAAGATTTTTTTTTTCGTTTTTGCTCAACAGTTAACATGGTTTGACAATTTTTAACACCATATTCAAATCTGATTTGAATTTGTCACAATGTGGTCTTAAAGTTAAACGATTCCCGTCATAAACTGGTTGACCCGTCAGGAATATTTAATTAATGGGTCAACATAATCTCGATTTATACACAAGATGAACTCAACTATAAATAATTATATACGACTTATTCATAACATAATCTCTAAAATAAATGAGCCGAGAATTTGTTAAGTATTTTTAACGCGTCATGATTTAAATGACATAGGCTCATTAGGTTCACATTTACATGCAAATTAGAAAGAGAAATCCACCAATAGAGTCTCATAGCCATTGCAGGACATAGAACTGGGGCCTTGTTATGCATGTTTCCGGCTGTGTCGTGGCTAATTGCCCTTTTAGCACACGGATTGAGACTCACTTAAGAAATTATGTTTACATAATTAGTCATGTTTACATGACATTGACCAAGCAGAAAGATTGGAGATTGACCATTTCATTCACATGGATGTCCACAAATTTAATCAATCACCAACTGGTAAAACAAAATCAAACTCTATTAGCATTCATGTGAAAAAAAATGTTTAGATTTGTGGTTTAATATTATATATGATCTATAACTCAATAACAATAACATATTCATCTTTTTGATCACAGATAAATTGCGATAAATAAACCTTATTAAGTTTAACAATCAAATGCAGGGTTGAGTTCTTCTAGATGAACTTATAATGACTTGAGTCCATTAAGGAAACTTATTTGGTGATAAATCCGTTTTTTATTTTACTAATAAGTATTTAAGTCCACTATTTTTTTTAAATCCTAAAAATACCCTTAACTGTTTGTTCAATTATAGAAACTTTAAAGACCTTAAAAATAGCTTTAAATTAATTTCTTAAATTAAAATTTATTATCCTTTAATTCACTCCGAAATTGAAATTCAAATTTATACTCTCTCTTTCTCTCTCTCCCTCCCCCCTTCCTTCCTTCCTTTAGGCATAGTGCCGCCTCATACCCTCTCATTTTCAGTCCCTCCACAAAAAGAGCACAAATCCAAACACCTTCTTTAATGATCCCCAATTATAGCAAGGCTTTATAATTATTGAACGGTTCAATGTGTTATTAGTTTGATCCTTAATTTTATTTTTATTTTTTTCATAATTAATCTCTAAATTTTTTCAATGTTTCATGTTAGTACGTTTTTTTGTTGACCATGTTACTATTTTTTATTAAGCATATTATTATTTTTTCAGTATTACTTTTTTGGATGCTGAAGAATTGGAGGTTTTTTCCTCTAGTTATGGGTTTGGATGCCACTATTTTTATTTTCAATTTTGTCCAATATTCCATATTGCCTTTTTTTTTTTTTTTGTTGAGCATCCTACTATTTTTGTTAAATATGTTACTATTTTTGTTGAACATGTTACTATTGTTATTTTTTAAAAATATTAATATTGAATGTTACTATTTTTTTATGTTTAAATGTTACTATTTTTTTTGTGTTTAAATGATATTATTTTTTTGGTTTAAATAATAACTTTTTTTTGTATTTGAATATATATATATATATATTTTCCTCCAAATGGCCCAGCAGGTTCCAAAACCTATTGCATCAGCCAAACCTAGCACTTCTAGTCAACTTGTTAACCCATATTCTTACCAACCATAGTTAGCCCATAAAGGCCCAAAAGTTGATTATATCAAAGCCTATACTCAAAATGTATTTGCTATTGAACTAGTCCACGCTCACCTAAGCGACTCAATGGACCTTGTCAAAGCATACCTTGAGCCAGAATGTACCTTTATTCCATTTGATCTTGAAAGACCTTCCAGTTCTCTCAGGATATTCTATTCTTTACCTAGTCCATTTTTATCAAGCTCNCTTCCAGTTCTCTCAGGATATTCTATTCTTTACCTAGTCCATTTTTATCAAGCTCATAGCTGATAAGAATGACCCTAGTAAAGTCATTTATCACTCTTTAAATATTTTAAAGATTATTTCTTTCAAAGATTGGGGATCTCATCCTTTCTCACTCCGAGATCTACCTTATCATAGTAGAAAATTTAATTACTATGATTACAAAGAATCATGGTTTAAAATTATTCTCTATCAGGATGGTTCTTTAAATCATTCCTGGTTTTTACAGTTTCAAAAAGATTTCAAGAGTCAGATTCCGCCTTGTTCGCACAGTGGTGGTTTATTCACGGCCTCATTCATGAAATCTTCCCAGCTGATCTTCAAGATCAGATTATAGCATTCTCCTCTGTTTATAAACATAGTAAACATGAGAGTCAATTTCCTATTTTACTAACATCTATTTGCAGGTACAAAGTCTCATGGATATGCAAATGAAAATGAAAAATTATTGGTTTTAATGTCGCCAGACAATTCTATGTTAAAAGGTGGCCTAGGTTCCAACAAGGACCAATTATTAACCGTGTCAAACAGGAGTTCCCAGTCAAGGTTCCAACCCAGTAGCGATTTCAGCAACCTTAACTCCTTCAACTCCAGTCAAGCAGGTCATGCCTTCTCTCCGAATTTCTACTCCAAAAGAGCTCAAGAAATCCACTATAGAAGAACCAAAACAAAAAAAGTCCTCCTCTAAGGACTCCAGTAAGCAATCCAAGAAGAAGTCCACTGCACTCATTGAGTTAGCACAGAAGCTTCTTCAACAAGCAGCTAGTGAAAGCAATTCGTCTGCATCTTCTCAGGCCTCAATCACCCCATCCATGGATCCATTTCAAGATAACCAGGATCCTTTTGCAGGATATGATGACTTAGCCGACATCACTACCCCGTGATTTTTATCCTTACATGTGATAACTTCAATCACTACTCTCGAAAGAGAGAAAAGCTGTCTGTCACTTGTAATGATATTATATCATATAGTAAATTCAGGCTCTTTCTCTAGTAAAGCATTCGCCTATCAACATCCAATCTGATTTCTCCAGTTTATGCTCAATTGAACAAGTTTATGCTCTCAGTAAAGAGGAAGAAACTTGTTAATTAATTAGTAAAGAAGCCCTAAAGAAACATAGGGAAAAATATTTTAATTTTATCCACCTTGGTTTAGTCCAAGTAGCAATTAAACCATTAATGTCACCTGGTAAAGATGCAGTAACTCTATTAACCCTAAGAGATGCTAGGTTTTTGGAATATGAACCAAGCATTTTAGGAATAATGGAGACTGGTCTTCATAACGGACCAGTTTATTTTAACTGCTTTCCAGATTTTACCTTAAGCCTTAGTTGTAAAAACACACCAATGGCTTTAACATTAGGGATAAAACTCTCAGGTCAAATCACTAAATTGGTAAAAGAGACCCAATCTCTAGTACTTATCTATAGGATTTACTATAAATGCATGACCACAAACCTGAATGTACGTGCATTGAAGAAACATCCTAAAGATAAAACTATGCTTATTCAAGCTAGTACTAATGATTCTAACATCCAAGTCCCCAAAAGACTTGAATGAAAAAATGTTCAACTTCCAAAATCATGGATAGTTGAAAATGAAAACTATAATAAGGATAGTGAAAACACTGCCGCTAAACTCGAAAACATCCAACAGTTATCTGATGGATTAGTAAGAATCTCCTTTGACTTTGCCAGATCTTGCAGATCCAGCAAGTCATTTAGCAAACTTATCCAAATTAATAAAGGTAGGAAATATGATGTTTATTCTAGGATCTCTAGAAGAGATAAAGAATTAACAGCAGAAATAGAAACAAAATTTAAGTTAAAAGGAATAGATAATTTCACACCACAAATTAGTAGACCGTGCTACACTCCACATCAAAGTGTTCCACAACCTAGTCCTAGGGATGAAGAGGAAGAAGATGACTTCACTCCTTCACCCACTGCCAGTGACTTACAAAGCACTGCCCTAGTTAAT